AAACTTCAGGCACCCAGAAGGCAACTAGTATAGGGACTGGAAATAAAGGCAAACTTGGCCTTGATAAGTGCAGGTTCCAACAGGCTTCATTCCCATGGTTCTGACATAAGTCAAATACCTCTTTTTTTTTTTTTTTTAAGTTTTTGTTACCTTTTATTATCAGTATCTTTATAAACCCAGTCTTTGTCTGTCTTTGGGGGTTGGAAACAATACATAGGAAAACCATAACTTCAGCATTTTATGAGCTGCAACATTGTATATATAGTACATATTGCTAACAGTAAAATGTACCAAAACAAATCAAACCATTGGTCATAAGTGTGGTTTGCAGTAACTGAAATATGAGGATTATAGTGGTTATGAATCAGTCTGATAACCTCAGGGTCAGCAGTTCAAAACTATCAGCTGTTCATGGGAGAAAGAGGAGGCTTTCTGCTCCCGTAAAGATTTACAGCCTCGGAAACCCTGTGCAGGGTCGGTATGAGTCAGAACTGACTCCACGGCACATAGCAACAACAACAACCTATAGGTTGAAGAAGTGGGAAAAGATTAAATCACCAGGAGGAAAAAGCCTATAGTGCATATTTAGTATTATCACAGGTAACCTTTTTAATCTCAAAGGGTTACTGAAACTATATTTTTGCATATCCTTTTGAGGTTTCATAACAGATAAAAATACAGACCTTTACAAATACATTAATTTATTATACTTGGTTGTTTCTTCTATTGCTTTAAACATTAGATGCAAATGTATGAGCTTGAAACATTTTATATGGCAGTGTTAAAAAGTCTCTGAAAGATAGCATCCAAACTGGCATCTAGCATGCTGTTGGGCCTGTTACCACCAGTACTTCATATAGCGTGCAGGACTTCTAAAACAAGCATGGCATGCAGTCAGCTAGAGCATTGATTTCACAACCATTTGATTTACAGGTTGGGACAGGACTTTTGAGGTTAAGGTTTAAAAAATAATAAATAGCTTCTTTGCCTGATAAACATCTTAGTCTATCTCATATTTCAGGAGATACTTGAATTCTAGATATCCCAAGTCAAATCGTAAAGAATGGTTATATTTCACATATTGTTGTTAAGTGCTGTGGAGTCAGTTCCAACCCATAGAAACCCTGTATAGGGTTTCCAAGGAGCAGCTGGTGAGCTTGAACCGCCGACCTTGCAGTTCAAATGGTGCAGTCTGGCGTATTAACCCACAGCGCCCCACCATACAGGCTTTATTTAATTAGATGGCTGGCAGTATACATTGATATACTGATTTGGTGATAATGCACAAGTAAAAGTACTAGCATAACCTAAGTCAAGTGTAATTGATTTAAGATTATTCTCTATTTTTAATTGTAATGTATACCTTCAGTATATGTGGAAAGGTATGGAATATTTTCACAAAATAGTTATAAATATTTCTCACAAAAAGAGTGACCTTTTAAAGCTCCAACTCTGGTGGAAATACTAGTTGTTTTGAATTGCCAAGTCTAGTGGGTACTTCTCAACCCTGAATTTAGTTAATCTCTCTGACTTTATCTGTGACTGCCAAAATATTCTGCACTAGTTCTTTTTCTGTCTCTTTGTAATTTCTCCTCTATTATCTTTGCATATACCTTTGTGTGTCTTACACTTAAATGTCAATATTATTGAGGTCTATTCTAAAACCACTTTTCCCCTTGTTTGGTATCCCTTTTGTCAAGAAATAGCTGTTATCCTAAACTTTTACAAAGCCTAGAGTAATTTGGAGGCTCTTCTCACTCAACATTTCCCTCTTGCTTACATCCTGTTCCCAGTCACCAAGTCGATTTCGTTCAGTGAGCCTTTGGCTGTATACCAAGCTGTGATGGGCAATGAGGTGCTGGTCTCTTCAGACCAGTCCTTTCTTACTATCATTGCCTTTGCTCAATTTCTGATCATTTCTTTCAGGTCAACAAACATTGAGCACAAACTCTGTGCCAAGTAATGTGCTGGGCACTGAGAATAAAAGATGATTAAGTTTACATAGGAATAGAAGAGATGAAGTGTGTGCAGTACAGGTTACATAGCACTTGATTTAGAGAAATTTGATCTCATGCTAAGGTGCTTACTAGCACATTAGAGATGTGGATATTTTTTGGTTTATTTGCAAAGAAACAGTCTTATCTAGTGCAGAGATGAATTATACTAGAGACCCAGCACAAGAGGAGCAGCAATATTGTACACGTTTAAGCCTTCTTTCTTGTATTGTTTTTATTTCTTTTGGTGTCTTACCAGTTTCTCTTGCTTTAACGTTTGTGTTACTCTATTCTCTCTAGTTTTCTTTATCATCTTTATTAGAAAGTCACCAAGACCAGACTGTATATGCATTTTCGTTTTATGTGAAAAGTTATTTCCATAGAAATTCCATAGTGGAGTGGTTGTATAAAAAATTTGTGTAATGTGGTGGTATTTTCCATGGTGTTTGTTCCGACTCTTAGCAAACCAGTATAGAGTTTCCGAGGCTGTAAATCTTTACAGGAGCAGAAAGCCACATCTTTCTCCTGCGAATGACTGGTGGTTCCGAGCTGCTGACCTTGAGGTTAGCAGCCTAACTTATAACCACTACGCTACCAGAGCTCCTTTGTGTAATATAGGGGAGGAAATAAAGCTTGAGTTATAGATGAGGGCTAGAATGATCATGAAGGAAGGGTTTTGTTAGGCTAAGGAACTTGGACTGTAGGGAGCTACTAAAAGATAGGATAGAGGAATAACATCGATTTATAATTTAAACAGAATCTTACCTTCAGGGGTATCTGCCCGGCATTCTGTCTTGTCCATCACCAGAGTCAGCTTAGTAAAACACAAGATTAGTGGTAGATATTTCCAGCTCAAAACTTAGGATGACTCCCAGATACCAAAATCCAAGGTTTGTCTTGTTTTTCTCTTATCAGTTTTTTAAAGAGAAGTTGCTATTTCTTCTACCTTGAATGTGTTTCTTTAGGTATTCACATGGTTTCCATCTTAGTTTTATCCCTGTTTTTTTTTTTGTTTGTTTGTTTTTTTCCCTTCTGAACTATCATAGGTACCCTCGCTGTTCATGATATAAATAAAAACCATTACCTCCATCACTCTTTAAGATATTACTTGTTTTTTTTTTTACCAAGCTGGAAAGTTATATGTTTGTTTCTGTATTCTACTGGAATGGAAACTCCACGAGAACAGGAACTTTTATATATTTTGTTCACCATTGAAGTATTCTGTATTTGATACATAGTAGGTGTTCAATATCTGTTGAAAGAATGTGACCCTACCAACTTCCTCATCTCTTCTCTCTCCAATCTGTATTTCTCATGTCAGCCAGGGGACTTCTAACAGCTCACCATGCCCCAGTCACTCCTTCCCTTGGGTCATCTCTCCAGATGCATCTCAGATATCAGAGACCACCTTTTCTATAGGATCAGTTTTTTCAAGCACTAGCTCCTCTAAGCTTCCATAGCATTTTAAAAAGAGTATTTATTAGAAACAAACAAACAAACAAAAACAACAACAACAAAAAAAACATTTACCTGGACTCTCAAGGAAATCACAGGTGCAAATAACTATTTATTCATTGAAATAGACATGTGTTATATAGGTAAAACTTGGTTAATTGGAGAAACATAATAATTAGATGCTACTTAAATTTGATTGCCAGTGTAGTATGGTTAAGGGAAGATAGCAAGGGAAAGTAACATGCAGTTACAGAAGCAGTCTGGAGAAAATATTCACTTTTTCTTTTGTGTATGTACCACTTTCCTAATTTATTATTGTTACATATGTTTTTTATAGAAATAACATTATTTGTAATAGAGAAAAATAGAAATAAACATACTGCAGAAAATGCTTGTAAGAGATAGAACTAAAAGCATGCTGAATTTCATATTTTTATCATTGTTTTACTTTTTTTGTATTAAAATAGTAAAAAGTAAATATTATTTTTCCACATACAATATTGATGACATAAATTATCTAGAAATGTTTTCAATTAATCAAGTTAGTAGCACTATACCCAAGCCAGATTTTACTCTGAATGATAATATAATTTAATTTCAGTCATCAGAAATGCCTTTTGTATTAAGAATACTCACAATAAGTCTTCATTTTCTTTGGCTAATAGAACGGTACAGAGGCATGGTCTTCACATCTCTTTGTTTGGATTGCGAATGTCTTACCTTCGTTTTTCAGCAAGGATATCTGTAAATTCACTTTATATAATGAATTTCTGCTGTGATATCCTGGCTAAGGAAATTGTGTGAAGTCGTCCATTTCATCATTTCTAAACTCACGTTCTACAATTAACTCTAGTATCTTTTTTCCCAGGGAACAACAAAGCATACTCTTTTTATAAAAAATGTTCAAAGACTGTATTAGGTGCCAGAAGGACTTTGAGAGGTTGTCACTGATAGAGTGAAATATTTATAAATAGGAGGCTGGTGATGATGAAAATACATGTTTTTGTAGGGTTGCTTCTGTTTATGTACTCCATGAATAACTCTGAAAGGCATCTTGTAGAAAATAGCATAGGAAGCATCATTTTCACACAATTTCATCTTCCCTTAACAATGGCTAACTGCATTAGAGAAAGAAAATCCCAATAGGTTTATTAATTGAGTATCACTATGTGGCACTGTAGGATAAGCACTAGACTGCTAACTGTAAGGTGGGCAGTTCAAACCTAACAGCAGCTCCTTGGAAACCCTGTACAGGGTCACTATTAGTTGGAACTGACATGATGGCTCTTAACAATAACAACATAGCACAAATGTGTGAAGTAAGCATTTTTATAAGATATTAGTCTATGATGTGTACAACATATTTTTAATAAAATGGAAAGAATTTCATCCTTATTTTTTTCCTGATTTAGATATGAAAGGGAGATTTGGGAAAGATTTATGTAAACTTGAGGTAGATTTTAAATGTTTACTATAAAAATACTTGAGATGTTATAATGCAGTAAACGTTTTTTACATTATATACGTAATGACTTTTTATTTGTTTTTCAGAGTAAAGCCAATCCCGGCTGAAGGTATCAAATCGAATCCTTCCAAGAGACACAGAGACAGACTTAATACAGAGTTGGACCGTTTGGCTAGCCTGCTGCCTTTTCCACAAGATGTTATTAATAAGCTGGATAAACTCTCAGTTCTTAGGCTCAGTGTCAGTTACCTCAGAGCCAAGAGCTTTTTTGATGGTAAGGTGGAGGGTTTAATCTTTCTACAATGGCTTACAAAACATTTATACTCAATGTGCCTCTTGCTGGCTTGAAAATTATAAAAAGTACCCGTTTGTGGAAAAAAGCGTTTGATTTTTGGTATATATAAAATTTAATTGACAAAACCAAAATATCTCATGCATCTTAACAAGCATTTTCTGTGAAGTTTCACCCACCAAAGCAGTTGAAGGATGTCATTCTATGACCACCATGTATTGGGAAGGTAGGGTTATGCTCAGCATGCCGGAGTCCATTTCCCATTCTTCCAAATCCAATTTTTGAACTCTCTTTTCTTTAATTAAAGAGTAAATTATGTACTACTCCATTTATTCTTTTAAAATTATGTGTACTTCTAGTTCTTTATATAATTCCAGGAAAATGTAGTTTAAAAGATATTTTTTCAGTAGAAGCAACACTACAAATACGAGTTGACTTGGCTTTCCATTGTGCCCTTGAAAAACTATTTAACCAAACCACTTAGCCATCGAATTGGTTCCAACTCATAACCACCCTATATAGGGTTTCAGAAGCTATAAATCTTTATGAGAACAGAGATCTGTCTGTCTCCTCCTGAGTGGCTGGTGGATTTGAACTGCTGACCTTTTGGTTAGCAGCCTAACACATAATGCACTACACCACCAGGGATCCTTGATTCTCAGCTTACTCGTTGTTAAAGTTAGGGACTTGAGCTAAGGAATGAAATTTGTTATTTTCTCCTGGTATGTTAGATAAGCACTGGTGTACTAACTGTGCAAGGTTTGGCAGTTCAAACCCACCAGCTGCTCCTCGGATCTCACTGGATTGCTAGGAGTTGGAACCAATAAACAATCATATTTCATCATTATAAGGCATATTACATGGAAGTTTTTGTTTAAAATTAATATTCCAGTGCAAAAATAGTTCCATGATTTCCTTTTTATCTGTTTGTAAGGCAGCAACAATTTTTTTAAGGAAATGTTAAGTCTTTTTAAAATGTTATGTTACTTTATAAACACTGGTTGGTTGGTTATGTGCTGTGGAGTCAGTTCCGACTCATAGTCATCCTATACAGGGTTTTCTGAGGCTATAATTCTTTATAGGAGCAGAAAGCCTCATCTTTCTCCCATGGAAACATCTGGTAGTTTTGAACTGCTGACCTTGATGTTAGCAGCCCGACTTGAAACCAATACTTTTATAAACACTGGTGTGGTGGTGGTGTACCGTGGATTGGATTCCAACTCACAGTGACCCTGTACAGGGTTTCCGAGGCTATAAATCTTTACGGGAACAGAAAGCCTCATCTTTTCTCCTGTGGAACCACTGGCAGTTTCGAACTAGTTGACATTGAGGTTAGCAGTCCAACTCGTAGCCATTACGCTACCAGAGCTCCTTTTATAAACACTAGTGAAGGAATTAATGGCAGAATCTTAGTAGCCTATATCAGTGATTCTCAAACATGTGCTTGCAGGTCATGTAAGCATTTGTTAAGCTGCAGTTTCTATTTTAGTAATTTGAGGTGTGGCAGAGATTATGCGTTGTGAACAGGCTCCCAGATGATGATACTGCTGTAGTTGGTAAAGATTTATTGATTTAAACAATTTTGCCTTTCCATTTCCTTGTCTTCTGTTCTAGGAAATCAACTATATCAGGTTAAAAATAGAAAAAATAATAATTGATTGTCCTTTATTTAGACATATTAGAATTAATCTGAAGCTTCTTAAAGAATAGCCAGTGTGCCATTTAATTACTAGCTATGATTATTGCCTTGTGGACAGAATTACACAAGTATATATTATGTTTATACGTTTAATACATATCCATAAGTATTCCTATATGCAAATACCTATATGTTTTCACATTTTGATGTGAAATATCTATTCAATATCTCAAATAAAGAAGCTTCCAAAGTGTGTTTTCTTTAGAATATTGTCAGAATTTAGCTCACCATGGAGTTCTTACTTTTTATAATGTTCCTCATTAATGAATTTATATCTATTTTTCATTCTAGTTCAGTGTTTTGACTGTAAGACATTATTCATCCATATTGTTTATTATTTTACTGTCCTTTAGCTTGTTGTTATATGAGGTGGAGTCAATTCCGACTCATAGCGACCCTGTACAGGGTTTCCGAGGCTGTAAATCTTTACGGGAGCAGAAAGCCTCATCTTTCTCCCACACGGTAGTTTCGAACTGTTGACCATGTGGCTCGCAGCCTGATTCGTAGCCACTACACTACCAGAGCTCCTTTAGCTTAGACCCTTTATATTACTGACTCTTAAACTTCAGTGTGCTTAAAAATCGGGAAAGCTACTTAAAATGCATATTCCAGGGCACATACTGATTCAGTAGGTTCTACATTGCTGTTGTCAGGTGCTATCGAGTCAGTTCTGACTCATAGTAACTCTGTATAGGATTTCCAAGGCTTTCCCCCATGGAGGGTTGGCAGGCTTGAGCCGTGGACCTTGTGATTCACAGTCCAGAGCTGTCATATGGTGCCACCATGCTCCCAGGTTCTGCTTGTTGTTGTTAAATGCCGTCAAGCCGGTTCTGACTCACAATGATCTGGTGGGCTTGAACCACTGACTTTGTGGTTCAAATCAATTTTGTAGTCTAGTGTTTATCCTGCAGTGCCACACCAAGACTCCAGGTTCTACATAGAACCCAGAGATATGCCTGAGTATTCTGATACAGATCAAGAAACCTACTTTAAAACAAAGATTTAACCTAGCCTTGATTTATATCCTGAATTATTTTTTTAAATTTCTTTTCTTTGCCTTTCAGAAGGATAAGCCCAAATGTGCAAAATTTCAGGAAGAGTATATTTGTGTTTGCTTTACTATGTAGAGTCCTGGTATGGCACTGTAAGAGAAGCACTCAACTTCAAGTTTGGTTTGAACCACAAGGTCAGCAGTTCAAACTCACCAGCTGCTCCTCAGAAAACCCTATACAGGGTCCCTATGAGTCGAAACCAGCTCAGTGGCACTTAAACAACAACATAGTCTAAGCCGTTTTCTTAGACTGTTCAATACAGAATAGCATAGTGTTAGATGAAATGTGAGGGAAACGATAGGTCCCTCATCGTTCATGGCCAACCAGTGGTTTGGGAAGGCAATGCAACATTCTGATAACACAGATTAAAAGTTTGAAGGGAACTCTTATGACATGAATGAATGCTGAACACAAAAGAAGAGACTTGGTGTATGCTGACACTAGTTGTATTTTTGTGTGCAGTTAGACCCGTTCTCGCACTATTTGGAAATAGCATATCCAAGTGAGGGGAAGCTCTAAGTGAATAACAGGATGCAAACAGGGGGTGTGCGAATTCCTGCGGAAAGAACAATATAAACGAGTAATCATACAATCTTGTTAGAAAGGAAACTCAAGTTTACTGTAACAATAGATATTTTTCCAAGAAAGTACGTCTATTTATTATGAGTTTAACTAATCCAACTTGGATGAATCTTCTAAAACTTTGAAATCATGATTATACTATTATGTATCCACTACTATTTAATCAAAACATTTTAAATACAACTTTAAATGACAGCTACGGTAGAGTTAGGATCAGTTTATTTTGTACTGTCACATTGAAATGATTTTAAAATGCATATCATCATTTTTAAGATTGCTTATTCTAAACGTTGTCAGTTACAGGGTACACTAAGAAAAAAAGTTTTTGTCCCTTAATAACTGAAAGTCTAATGAGGGAGATAGACTCAAACTGTAGCAAATAAAGTATGTGAAATACAATTACAGATATAGTGATTTATAATACACTGCATAGGGGACATTATCAAGGCAATACTGAAATGGAAACTCCCTGAGATTATTTTAGTTTACTAGTTATGAGTCGGGCTACTAACCTCAAGGTCAGCACTCCTAAACTACCAGCCATTGCCTATGAGTCGGAAGCGACTTCTTGGCACACTGCCACCACCACCACTACCAGGAGCTCTGATACTCTGGTAGCGTAGTGATTCCAAGTTGGCCTGCTAACCTCAGGGTCAATCGTTCAAAACGACCAGCGGTTCCGCAAGAGAAAGATGAGGCTTTCTGTTCCCATAAAGATTTACAGCCTCAGAAGCCTTATTACAGGGTCACTAGGAGTCAGAACCGACTCCACATAACCACCACCATCATACCTAAAACAATACCTACTCCATATTCAACAGTCAGTATTTATTGCATTCATTTCGGTCACAATATTAAATGTTTAATATTCTGCATTGTGCTCAGAAATAAGTTTCTAGAGCTTGACTTAAGATTTTAAAAATATTTTACTATTTCCAGCTAATCTTTCTTTTAATAGCTAGTTACTGTTATTGACTCTTTCTATTATATCATTGTTGTTGTTAAGTGCCATCGAGTCAGTTCCAACCCATAATGACCCTGTATAGAGTTCCCAAGGAGCAGTTGATGAGCTTGAACCGCTGACCATGTGGTTCAAACTGACTTTACAGTCTAGCGCATTAACCCACACTGCCACATCAGGACTCCAGGTATATTACTAAGTATTTATAAATATATGGTTACAAGAAATACTTGCTTTATCTAATTATAGCAGAAGTCTTTGATTGGTGGTATCAAAACTTATAAATGTATTTAAAGACTCAAATGTCAAAGCTATATACAACTTCTTTGAGCCAGCTCTTGCTATTAACTATAGTCATTTTCAATCTTTTCATTACTGCCTTTTGCGATTTTTAGCCAAACTTTTTGCTTCCTTGCCATCTTTACATTTATCATCATGTTCTTGGACCACTGGTCATTGTCTTTTGAATACCAGCTACCTGGCAACCTTGCTACTTACTATTTATTTATTTATTTATTTTTTTGAGGAGGCTCAATTTAGGTGGGATATACAGGTAGGGGTCTGAATTTAAAAAGAAATTTACATTTGAAAAAATCATTGACTTGGTAAATCTTATAGATTAAACAAATATGAAGTAAGGAAATAGCTTATTTTTTATATTCTGCATAATGGAGTTTGAACTGACCTT